CGAGCCCCTCTGAGGGGTCAGGCAGGCTCAGGGCGCTGGCGGCCGGGGGCCAGGAGGCTAGAAGAGAGGGAGCAGGCCTTAGGAGGGTGGTATCCCTCCCCACCTCCAACCCGTATCCTCCACCCGTGACGAAACTGACTTCCCCAGAAAACAAGAGCCCAGAAGAGAGGGGTGAGAGGCGACCAATTGCCAGCCCTCCCACTGGGGACTGGCCTGCGGCACCCGTGCGAGGGCTGTGCGCATATGAGAGCGAGAAAGAATGAGAATTCTCTAAGGAGGAAAAAAAAAGGCATTAGTTTTATTTATAATAGTTCCAACCTGGACATAACGGAAGTACTCGTCACCAGCAGAATGGATAAATTCTGGTATATTCATAATGGGATGTTACCCAGCAATAAGAAAAGGGACTACTGTACATGCAACAACATGGGTGAATCCAATGGATATTATGCTGCATGAAAGAAGCCAGACCATAGTGCATACTGTAGGATTCTATATATATGGAGTTCAAGAACAGACTAAATCGATGATGACAGAAATCAGAATAAAGTTTACCCTGGGGCCTATATGGACTGGGAAGGGGCAGGAGGGAACCTTATGTGATGCTGAAAATGTCTCTATCTTGGTATGAGTGGTGGTTATACAGGTTATACAGTTAATACACTTAATACACTTATAATTAGTGCACTATATGTACTTGGCTGTATGTATGTTACATCTCAAAAAAAAATCCTTAAAAGATGCTTATTTATGTCCATGTCACGCAAACTACACTCATCAGACCAGCTGGACAAATGGTACCATGTTGCAGTGACCAAGATATAACCTCACCTGAAGATACCTATGTGCATGTCACTGTTTGTTCCTGTTCCTGCTTCTGGGCCACACCCTTCCATCCCTGCCCTGCCCTTTGCTCCAAGGGCCATATTTGTCTTCTTCATTCCCCTTCTGGCACAAGTCACCACCATTCCCGGCATCCCACCCCTGGTCACCCACAACTCCTGCTGCCCATTCCCCCTCATCTCTGGCTTCCAGTCATTCTTCTCCTGCCTTGTGGGGTCTCTACCCTATTCCTCACTGCCATCCTCTTCCCAACTGCCTGCAATTGGGCTTCAACCACCACCTGCTGTCACTGTGCTCCCCCAGGTCACAGACCACTTGCTAATCAGACGATGCATCAAGGGTCTTCACCTAGTTGGACCCTTGGATGGTCCTATTGCAATGAAGCTGCCCAGTTTGGGTTCTCTGACCTCCTCTTCTTGCTACCTCCTGATGGGAGGTCTGCCTTCATGCCCCTCTTAGCCTCTACCCTCTTCCAGGTAGTCTGGTTCACTCCCATAGTCTGGTTCACTCACATCCTTAAGCCTTGCCTCTCAGCTCTACCTCTCCATCCTTACCTATCCTGGAGCTCCATTTGCCTTTTGGCATTTCCATGTGGATGTCTGTTCCCTTTGCCACCCCTGCACCCAGTCCTCCTCCTGGTAAAAGCACCCTGCTTTGGCCCTTGGGAACCATCTTTCCCTCCCTACTCTCTCAGTCCATGTGGTCTGGGTAGGAGTTGACGGTCCACCCCTGATTCCAGGGGTAAGAATGTGATATTGGCCTGGCCAAACAGAGTCCTGGGGTGGGCACACATTACCCAACTTGAGTCAGCGAGTCATTTCTCCAGGACTTCTCTGGCACTACTGGGAAAGCATCCTCTTTGGGCTCAGGTTTCTAAGCGGATGGGGAGGGCCAGGGTGGAGAGGGCCAATCTCTGTCTCCTTT